GAATTCTTGATCTGGAATTGGTTCTAATTTCAGATGATCTTGAACTTTCACTTGACTGTACTCTTGCAACCCTACTGTACATCCATTGCTTGTGACCTTTCTGGTTGTATCTGGAAGCTAGAAGATTAGTTGTTGCTTTGATCTGGTAACATCCAAAGTTAGTTTTAAAACTGATACAAACTATCTCAATTTCAGCAGATAAGAGTGCCTATTGTTGCAGTTAAGTGGCAAAAGGCAACTTGATTTTTTGTCTGCATGTTTGCTCCCTAATACACCTTGTTTCTTTACCTTGCTTTTTGCTAACTGGTTTCTCTTGTTTTTGCATTCTTGCTCATCACTGATTCTGAAAACAATTAATGTATTTAAAGCTATAGCTTATTCACAATGGAAATTAAGTCTGCAACACATAAATGGTTCAATTGTGTATTTATTACTTATGCTATTAGCCTTATTATGATTAAGAACATGCTTGTGGTCCCTGGTGTGCTGTTTGTCCTCATTTATATGTAAGGGTGTGTGATAGTCTTGTAATTTTTTTTAAAACTGATCTATAATACAATGTTTATAGCAAGTCAGTTGGGCAGGCATTCTGTAAAGAAACTGCTTTCTTATGCATTGAGCTTATAAACATTGATCACCTGGAAGTAGCTTCCTGAGAAATATCAGTTGTAATACTGGTGTTGCACAACTAATTTTTGCATGGTTCTTTTTCTTTTTAACTTAACTTAGAACAGGCAAGACTTGCACCTCAGCAAGTTCACAGTGAATTAGGAAATGTTTTAGTTATGATTTTGATGCTAACAGAACTTGCAAAATCAGTCTGGTGAATTTGTGCAGTTCTTATTTCATTATTTCTTTAAGAACTTTGTGAAATCAGAGTTTAAATTGTGATTTTGGTGTGTGTGGCTTTTGCTTTGTTGGCATCCTTTAGAACTGTGGACAAATTCTATTTGTTCTTTAAGATGAAAATGTTTTTGTTCCAGCTTCTCTACCCCCACTGATCAGAGTGAAGAGATGGATGTATATATAGAGTAGTGGTGTTATCTGTTAAGGCATTCAGCTTAATAGACAGACAGCAGAGTGAGAACACCATGTTTCTTAAACAGTGCTGACCTTAAGACAACTAGCTATTGGAGTTCTTGCTGACCTAGAAAAAGATAACAGTAGTTGCACATCTGTCCTTCAGCTCAAGTTCATAAAGATTCTAGAACACTGTAACATTGTCTCTTAGCTATCTGTCTAGTTTCTTACAAAAACCAGCTATTTGGTTTGTTTTCTTAAATAGTCCTAAATTATTTTCTTTGCAGTTGTTTTCTGTATGTTGTTCTGTAATCTCTTTCCAACTATAACCTTCTCTGTGACTTTTTCTTAAAGGTCTATTATGATATGGAAACTTGGGATTAAAATTTTACTTAAAAATTTTGAACGCACTTGAAATATTGCTTTGGCATCCACTTGTTTCCTTTTGTTTTCTTCTTTGATAGCACTGTTTCCCTGTGACTTTACCTGTGCCAAAAATACTATTTGTAACCTGATGCATACATACTGCAGATCTATGGTAGGATTTTTGTCTGTTTACCCCTGCCCCTACCCTTTAGTCTGCTGGGTTGTGATTTTTAAAGGCAGAGGACCTAGTATTTGCTAATTAAAACAAAGGTTACCAAGTTGCTACCATTCAATGTTCTTCCATTCCTTTGACTGAGGGAGCAATCTTAATAAACATAGTCCTTCTCACTATTTCATGCCAGTGAGTTGCAGCAGTTGCCACTGAAATAGGAATTTCTTCAGAAGAAAAGGGAAAAATAACGTTTAGTTAGCTCAAGCCTTAAACTGTGTTGTTATGCTTCTATGTTTTGTTTGCAAGACTATCTGCGCTACTGTCTTCCTGTGTTGTTCTAGTGGCTGACTAAGAAGAAATCTGCAGTTAAGCCAATTTTTGTTTATTAGAAATAACAAATCACATTTTATTTTTAATTGATTTATTTTAAAGAGGATTTTATTTATTACATAGTTCAAAACATGAGCTGGAAACTTTTGTTTTGGTTTTATATAATTGATCCCAAGACATAACAGGAACATAAACTATCTCAATTTAGAAATATAGATTTTACTGATAGAATAGTCTTTTTGTGTTTGTGTAGTAGTATACCTTCATACCAATCTTCTCCCAGTTTTATTACGTATTACTCTGTACCACCTGTTCTTTGTTGAACACCACAAACAAAATCCACATCCAATAAAACCTCGCTCTTTAGCAAGTTCTTTCTTAAGGGCTTATTTGCCAATATGCAATTAGACTTGAATGTATTACATAACATTATTTCTGATGCTTCTTTAGAAACTGACAAAGTAAAAATGTTTCTCCATAGTTCTCAGCGATTTATTATCATTGACTTGTAAACCATTAATAACGGACAGTGATCATATGTTGGGTGACTGGGAAGAAATCTACAGTTAGGCCAATTTTTGTTTATTAGAAATAACAAATCACATTTTATTTTTAATTGATGCATCTGGAGTCTTTTCTAACACAATGATGAAATGCCAGCAATTATTGTTGCCATATCAGTGTTTTTCACTCTCCTATTGCCAGTTAAAAAAAATAAATAATAATAATAAATCATTGTAAGTCTTTGAAAGAATGAAACATGAGGTAACATGAGTTATTTTATAATAGCTATGGCTTTTATGTAGAGAGTAGTTGTTCTGTTGATTTTTGTACTTAATATAGTTGCAGCTTTAGCCTTATGATCAAGGAGGGCTTTCTTAATCCAGTAAGAAGAATGAGTTCAGTTCCCTGCCATCTTCTTTTTCTATGGTGGAAAACTTTCCTGACGAGAGATTAATTGACTTCCCCAATAGTATGCTAAGCTGGGGGAAAAAATATATATAGTTACAGAAAACAATATCTTCAGGATTTATCTTGTGATTTTTTTTTTTGTTTGTTTCTGTTTTGGGGACCATGTATTCTTTCATCATTTATTTTAAAAAGGATTTTGTGTATTTCGTAGATCAAAACACAAGCTGGAAACTTTGTTTTGGTTTTATATAATTGTTCCCAAGATGTAACAGGAACATTAACCATCTCAATTTAGAAATATATATTTTACTGATGGAATAGTCTTTTTTTTATAGAATTTCTGGAATGTTTCCTGTATTTATTGACTAACTGTTTGAATGCCACATTTGGAGGATATCTGGTTGAACCTCCTTAAGTGCAGGAGATGCAGTTAGCTCATGGTGCTGAGGCTTGCATAGTTAACTTGTAATATCTTCACAACCTTTTTGGAAACTTACTCTACATATTTGACCGTGCTCATGTTCTCTTACTCTTTATCTTGTTGTTTTTTTCCCCTTTTTGTTTTTTTTCCGCTTTTAAGTTATTATACCTAGCTAAATTTTCCAATGGTTGCCAGCCTGTAGCATTGCAGGGAATTATTCTACCTAAAGCACAGGACTTTTTCTTTGCATCTGTTAATCTTGAGTTCTTTTGTTTCTAAATTTATCTGATAGTGTTGGCCCTGATATTAGCCAATGGGGATATCACTAGCAATCGTTGCCCACTTGGAGCTTTTCTGTCCAGTTTGGTGGGAAACCTTGCTAAAGGCAAGGTGCATGATGTCCACTGATTAAACCTCATCCACACAGGTACTCATCTTTTCACAGAAAGCAATTGAGTTTGTCAGATGTCATTTGCACCTTGTAAATCCATGTTACCGTTCCCAGTAATCTTTGTGCCCTTCCTGTGCTTAGAAATAGCTTTCAGAAAAACTGTTGTTACTGACTTTCTCAGGGACTAAGGCTAGATTGACAGCCAGTAGCTTCTTTCTTAAAGACAGGGCTACAGTGATCTATTGTCATTGGGAACAGACCCTAATCCCTAAATGCTTTAGCCTTGATGTGTGTAAGTCTGCAAACAGAATGTTGCTGTATTCTAGTACAAGATGTAATGGGAAAATACAATGCAAATGTAATACTGAGTTCAGACAATGTTCTCAAGGCTTTGGGTCAGGAGAATGTATTTCATGCCATCGTCAGACTGAATGAGCTTATTCAGATGGTAATCTGTGAAGATGATCTTGCATCATTTTTCTTGTAGGTAGTGTCCATTGTTAGAGAAGTTTATATATTGTAGAAATATACACACAGTGTGAAAATAGTTAGGCATTTGATATTACTTGAATTACAAGTATAGCAAATGCTTTTTAGGGACCTTCTGAATTTCAAGAAACTGTTGTCGGCTTTGCTCGCACATGTGAGCTTTAGACTTGTTAAGGCCTTGAATATGACTGAAACATTTCTCTTGAAGTGTACAGTAGTTGAAGTGATAAAACTTGAAATAAGATGCAGCTGAGTAATGTGGTATGTATGCGTCTGGGGTTTTTCTCATTTCTTCTGTTGGATGTATTTAGGAAAAGCTGATTTCATTTGTATTGCTCCACTGTTAAACAGAAATAGTTGATTAGATGAAAAAATAGGTGAAGCCAAATCCTTCAATGTTTGCTTTGCTTCCACAAGTCCTATACTGTTAATGCTCAGTTGTCCTTGTTCTGCTGTTTGTGGTTATTGTAGCCTAACCCTCAGCACTCTATTACTGAAGCAGTTGATCTGCAAATAGAATATCTTGCATGAAAACGTATGTGTTTTGTCTGTCCTTAGCTTCATCTGCAGCTTTGTGTGTGTAAGAAAACAACCACCAAGTGTTTTTCACTTTGTTTTTGTTATGTAGTTTGGGATTTGGCATGACAAAAGAAGAATATGTCCTTTTTTGAAAGCAGTTTGTGCCTGATGATTGCATTATTAAATGTTGTTTGGTCTAAAAGGTTTTTGTTCCAGTTATAAGAACAAGAATTGAATCATGATTGTTTTTTTTTTTCTTGAGTATGTTCAAAGAGTCCTGAAGGAGCTGGTGCCTTTCCCAGTATAAACTTTTGACAATTTGAAAAACATTTTTTCATGTATTCCTTCTCTCTGTTCTTTACTTCTTTTTTCTCCTAAAGCTGTTGAGGTACACACTGGATAAGAATGGTCTGCAGCAGGTGAGGATCATAGCCAGCGATAGACTGTGGGAGCCCATTTCCTTTGTCTTGCTGATTGACTCTGAGCTCCACGAAGTGGTCGATGTCATTGGGTAGGGGGTTCTCCTTTTATCTTTCATGCTGGTTAATTCACAACTTGTCTTTGTTTTGCTTGTTTATAAATAGCACAGCCAAAGCTGTACCTCTCTGTACTGTTATGGGTCTGATGCTGTGGATTTGATGCTGTAGTCTTTCTCGCTAACCTACATCAAGTGGTTTAGAAAGAACCAGTCTATTCGAGAGCTCAAATCCTAGCCTGATTGCAGCTTAAGACTTTTAACTGTGCAATACCCGTTTGCTGTGGCTGCACTTTTGTTGATTTGAATGGGTTTTAGTAAAACCTTTTCACCCTGAAGCTTGCTTCAGTTCCTGTATTTACATACAAAAAGTGCTTTAAATTTACAGCTTTATGTGCAGCCCTGTGTTACTGACTTCCAGCGTTCTGTTGTTAGAGAAATTAATGTGATCCAGAAACTAACTGAAGCTTTTATTTTTTTTGTTACAATAATGTCTTGATTCTCAGATCCCATTTTATTATGATTGAAGTTGTATGCTTCCCAAGCATTAAACTGACTGACTTGTTTTTCTAGTTCTTGTTTTCATAACTTGGTGATCATGTTTTGCAAAGGTAGACTAAATTTGATTACTGACTTCTGCATAAAAACATGTAAGATCAGGTCATTAACTTTTATTGTAGCTCTAGATTTTAATTATGATGTTACGTAAACTTGGCTGACCCAGTCACATTTCTCAGACATGGCTGTTCCTACTTCAACTTGAGTCTTTTTTGTTCAACCCATGGGACATGTACAAACGAAATCTTTCCTTCCAAACATAGATAGGAGTCAGTGCCCTGGAAAAATCAACCCTCCTCTCATTCTGAACAGGAAGTATCCTAATAATTTCTTGCAGGTCCATATGTGGGTAAATAAGTGAAAGCAATTACCAGCTCTCTCTGACAGATACAAATCTGTAGCTGTCATGATCCCAGTGTAGTGATCTGGATTCCTTTCTTGGCAACAGCAAACATGCACTCAGTGTCAGTTCCTGAAGCTTAACTGTTTTCATGCCAGTAAACTATAGTTGCTTTAGTCTTTGTGAGAAATCTAAGTTTTATAGTCCCTGCTCTGATTCAGTCTTAGCAGGAAGCTGAAATAGACTTATGTAATGGACAATCAGCTGGCTTCTGGGCAGTCAGTGGTCCATGTTTCATCACAGAAATATTGTTAAGATTCTTTCTAACTTGAAACTACAAAAAAGAAGTTAACCAGCCAGAATTTTACGTGCATGTACAAAAAGCCATCTCGGATTTCGTAACCAAATTTGGAATCAGTGAGATCTCATCAGACGTGCTAGATAGGAATCTAATTACAGCTTTTTATTATTTTGTGATTTTGCACTATTTGCATCCAAACTTCATCTTAAGGACAGTGCGGTGGCTAGAAATAGGGGAGAGCCCTGAAGAGACGCTTTAAAGCTATTAATGGATGTTCACCTATGTGGGAATGACCCAGGTAACCAAAGCTCTTCATAATGTGACATTTCCAGACAGCTTTTCAGAGCTATTACAGCTGCATCAATTCTACCAGTGAGATGAAATATAGTAAATTACGAACAGATATTAATCATACATTTAAATTAAACTGTAACTTTTGTATTGGGGAAGGGGGAATATTTTTAAAAATGGACTTGCAGATTCTGCACTAATTCTTAGTACTTCAGATGTAGTACTTGTTTATAACATGTTGTATACTAGTTAGTTCAATTTTGCATGTTATGAAGTTGGAGACCAAGTTATTCAGACTGTTGAAAAGTTTTCCTTCTCTTCCTGCAGTTTGTTGAGAGAAAACTTGTTATAGAGCATCAGTGAGTATAATAGAAAATTCCATTTTTTACTTGAGTTCAGAATGCCATCAGATGACAACTCTTGTCACTCTGGTTAAAAGTATCAGTGTTCTTAACCAGACCTGTTTGAAATGTGCATTTAGTTTAACATAGGTGTCACAGAAACCAAGACTAATATAGAAATTTTTCAAAACCTAATTATGAGTAAATTAATAATCTAGGAGTAACATGGCAACATTGTGTTTTTCCATGATAGAATTATGATGTGATACTTGTAATAGTAGGAAATGGAACTGTCCCAAGTACCTTTCAGGCCAGAGTTAGCATGAAAAGTAGGAAAGTCAGTGTTGCTAGCTGACACATTTTCTAGAGATGCTGGGTACTTGATTTTTCAGGTTTTTGTAGGTACTGCTTTTCTGCAAAGCTTTATAGCAGTGGGAGTGTTATATAGTTGTCTTTTCCATTTCAGATTAATTTCTGGGATCTTGTACTGATGCATAAGAGAAAAACAGTGGAACAATCTACTATTTCTCTACTGACCTTTTTTCTTCCCTTCTCTTCTGCGGAACATTGATGTATGCAAAATAAATGATACTGCAAAGGCTTTTATTTTCTTTTTTAAGAAAAAATCACTGTAGGCAGTTATGTGATGCAGTCACATAAGTCCTTAAGTAAGTTTTTCTTAATGTTACTTGTACGCTGATTTAATGCAGCTGCTCTTCATGGGCAAACGTGAGCTTTTTCATGTGAGATATATTGCTTCATCATCTGCTGTATAGAACACATTTAATCTGATAAGCCATTTAAAAATTGTTACCATTTAAACAATTAGAGGCCCTAATAATGAGCCACTCCGTTAAGATATGAAAATTGAAAACAAAAAATAGCCATGATGTGCATTTATTTAAAATAAAAATAAAATGAAGCATCTGTCTTCTCTGGCTCCAGGAAACTGAAAGGAGAATCAAATGATGAAAATGTATTATTAAATTTTTTTTTAAGTAAATAGCAGTGGTTTGAAAAATGCAAACACTGATAGTAAATTTTTTTGTGCTGATAGGAAGCTTAAGCCTGTGGCTTCATTGTAATTCTGTTCCTACTCTTCCTCTCATTATCTTCATTAAGATTCATTGTTTTTCATCCTTTTTATGGTATGCATTACTTTTTTCCCCTCTCTGTGAAGAAGTCTTCTGTTATAGTATGCCTAGTTTCCTGCTCTTTTGGGCAAAGAATCCAAAATCCCGCTACTTCTATTGGAGCATCATATCTGTAAGGATGAGTCGTAAGTGTTCTGTTACAGTTCCACTTCTTGGGCAGTGGGAACAGTAGGTGTTTAGGAGTTTTCCTGAAGATGCTAGTGGTCCTTAAATTGATCAATTACTTTATGTATCCATTATTTTCTGGTGCCATAAAAAGACTGTTTTCACTGCCAAAGGAGCAAACTCTGTTGTTCTGGCTACAGCTTTTCTCCTTTATTTTGCTAATTGTTGATTGCTGAGGTTGTAGAGTGGCACTAGATATCCAAAAGAATGTTTTGGACTGGTCTTGTCTGTTTTTGGTTTTTGGTTTTTTTTGTTTTGTTTTTTAATTTACATTGAATTCAACAAATCAGCATACATGCTTGTGAAAGTTTGTATTGTAAATGGATGGCAAATGTTGACTTTGTTCGTTTGGGTGGGGCTTGAAGTGGACATGCTACAGTGTTTAAGTCCTTTAAAAATAATTTATTTACTTTCTAAAAACAAATGTAGTTTTCGTATGATTGAGAATTACATATTAATTAATTACATCCTACTTCATTAGAACTAGTTTAGGCACTAATTAAGGTAAAAACCATCTTGTTTAACAGCTGTGTCTGAGTAAAATGCAAATAAAAAGTGTAAATCATGTTCATTAATAGTAATTGAAACTGTGTCTAAGAGCAGAGAAAAAGGATGCATTTCATAACTGATGGTGACACTATTTTACCTGCTTGCAGACCAATGGGACAAAAAATGAATGTTATGAACAAGTGGGTTTTGAATGAAGTAAAGATACTGCTTTTAGTTTTTATTTGGCAGAGATACTGACAATATTTAAGAAAAGGATTTGCAGGACATGAAGTGTAGAAATGTAGATCTATTCCTTCTTTGCATTGTCTTTGCTAGCTTCATGTCATTACAAAAACCTTTGCTTGGTACTAAGATATTGTGCTTCCAAGCCAAAGGGAAAATGTATGCCAAGCTGCACAGCAGAGACAAGGATCTAGCTGAAGTCTCTACTATCTGTTACATTACCTCTAGTGAAGCTAAGTACGAAGGACTACAACTCTGGGAAACTGCCTGTTTTTGAATAGAGGGGAAAATAGTTGAAACCAGCCATGAACCATAGAAATATCTCTATTTTCTTTTATTTTTATTCCTGACTCATGAATTGATTAAATTTGTCAAGTTTTAGCCCATTAGTAAAAAATATTTATGCTTTCCAGTTGCTAGCGTGTATTTAGTGTGTTCAGTGAGTGCCTAAACCGAGAGGAATGAACATGTATTCTGCAGTGTTTTAAGAGATTTTATTTCAGCTGGGATAATTCGCCAAATTGAATCAGTGGTGTGATTGAATATGGCCAGTAATCTTTATGTGGGAGAAGGTATCTGTACTCACACTACGGAAGCTCTTGTGAAGAAAACTAGCTTTCATTATGTTTCAGTTGTTTTCAGTTTACACCTCTTTAGCTCTTACAGTCCACTCAGCACGTGTTCTTGAAAGCTGAGCTTATTAAAAATGTGTGCAAGAAGAGCCAAGTTCACATTCAGCTGCTAAGACTTAAATTCAGCAAAGTGTTTGTAATCTCCTGTGCTGTATCTTGCTGTTAATTTATAATTATTTAAAAGTTTGCCTAAGGCGTTGTAAGATAACTTGTAAAAGTAACTGTAATATGCTACCAAGGTCAATTTCAAGATAAAGCTTTACTTTAGCAAGCTGCGGCAATTGTGTGATGTATTTAAGCCTAGATTTACTTAGGCTGATATGTTTTGAAGAAGTAATCTTGAACTGATGGGAATACAATAAGCTGTGGTATATTACAGATTTCTCTGTAGTACAAGTTTTCTGTTCTATTAGAATTATTCTGAAGGGCAAGCTTGTTTTTAACTTTCATTTTGGAGAAGCAATTAAGCCTCGAAATACAAACAGTAGCAATGAATTTTCTTTCTGTGATAGCACTCTTTCTTTTTAAAATATTGTGTAGGGCTCACTATCCTGGGACCAAAACAGTGCCAAATGCCTTACTGACTCAGAAGAAACTGTGGGCTTCGGAAGATTATAGTACTTTCAACGATGAAGTAGGTGCAGGCTGTTGGGCCCGGATCCTAAACCAAAACTACGTGAATGGAAACATGACTTCGTAAGTGTTGTGCATTGCTGATAGCTTTTAGAACTTCATTTGTAAGCATTATCTAAAGTACCATGTAACACATCCGTCTGCTATCTTAAGACTGTAGATAAACTGAAACTCTTTCCTCTGTCAGTCTGAATTCAGATATTCTGAGATGTGAAGACTACTGTACTTAATCACTTGGAGAAAAAATTTTGTGGCAGCTGTAAGGCATTTCTGAGTTACAGTTTGACATGGGCCTATACAACTGAGTTCAGATCTTTTAGTTTCTGATGATACTTTTCAAAGTAATTCTTCTTTAGAAGAACTAACATGAAAAACCCAGGAGGAAAATAACAATGAAGTTAACCTAGCTGTCTATTTCTCAGGGTCTCTATCAGTTATTTGTCTTCAGTTAAAAGTAATAGGTGTAGGGATTTTATTATCTGTTGTTTTCTGTACAAAATCTTTCTGAGGATCCATTCTAAAATTTGCTGGGATCTTTTGATATCTTCTGTAGGTTTTCTTGCCAAATTGAAATATGGGAGAAAGTTATTGGGAAATTAGATAAATCAGTTTTAAAACAGAATAGGAAACATACTTTGTTTTCAGTAAAACTAAAAATGAAGGCATCAATATTTAGGCAAAATCATTTCAAGGCTTTTAGCTTTTATGTAACTTCATTTTGGATTAATAAAGATAAATGTTTTTACCTGAAATACTTGAAACAAAGCACAGCAGAAAGCACCTGCACGCTCATGCTCATAAAGGGAAATTCAAGCTGACTATCTTCTGTGAATCTTGTTTCCTGCAAATCTAAGTTTCCAACATATTGGCTATGTGAATTCCTAGCACTCATCTTTTAGTACCTTTTGGGTTATTTCTGTCTTATTCCTGTTGTTCTCTTTTTACAAGCCCTTTGTAATTGTATAAGCCCCATTTGATTAGCAATGTGGCAACCAGATCTTATATTCAGAAATTATTATCAAAAAGATCAAAATCTGTAAATTAAATATTGCTTTTATTTCAGCTTTTATACTGAAAATCAGTTCTTCCTAATGAAATGAATTTAGCAAAAATATAAACATCCTTTCCTCAAAGTTTGAGTTCCTTCCATTATGATTGTTTTATATTGAATTTATGCAGAATTTTATTTTGAGGAAGCTGCTGTGTTGAAAATTTTGTTGAGGGTTTTTTATGAGCATATTTTTAGAGGAATTTATAATCTTTTCTGAAATGCATATATCCTGTGATAGATAAGTCTTAGGTAAAAACTTCAGAACGTGAGTCTTTTGTGCACAAATGCATTATTTCATGCCAGCTTTTGTTTCCTATAGAACTCCTTTCTTAAACTGTGTTTGCCTACCTATGGCTGCACAGATTTTAAGTTTAAGGTCCTAGCAAGAGATTGCTTTGAAGAACAAATCAGAAGACCTAAAAAGAATTGACCATGTCAGTGTCCTGACAAATTCTCAAAATAAATCCTGGAAGATGGCTTGTTAGCGTTGTATTACATTCTTTGTTTGTGTGGAAAAGACTGTTAATATTTCTCACTGGTGCTTAAAAAGCGAACAAACCCAACCCCATCAAAAGATCACCACCACCAATCACAAAGCTAATAAAAAAAATTGTAGAACATCACAACTTCTACTTTTTTTCTCCCTACTGATTTGGTTAGGAAGTATGGATGGAGTCTTTAATCCTCAGGTGTGCATTTCCTTTAATGTGCAGCTTTTAATGGCGATACAGCCAGAGGATGTATTGTTTTTTGTGGTTTTTTAAATGAAGTTTTCAACTCTGGAAATTGTTCTTCTTCTTCTCTCTCCTGTGGATTTATTAGCATTTTGCTTTTTTTGGAGGGGGCTGTGGAAGAGGTTGCTTGTTTGACTATTTTCTCTTCTTTTAACTGTGAAGATTCTTTTTGTGTTGAAATACTTCTTTATTTTATTATATCTTTTACTGTGAGCTAGTAAGTTATTTTTTTCACTGTGTGTTGGACAAAAAAAGCACAGTAAATTCTTGTTTTAACTTGTTCTATTGCTATCCACATGAATAATAAGCAAAACAAACCTTTTTTTCCAGAACTATTGCGTGGAACTTAGTGGCAAGTTATTATGAAGAATTGCCCTTTGGTCGATGTGGTTTGATGACTGCACAAGAACCATGGAGTGGCCACTATAAAGTAGAAGCACCTATTTGGATTACAGGTATTAAAAAAAATAAAATAAAATTCCCTAACTATATTGTGAGAGTCTCTTTTTTCTACGTGTGTTATTTTTGTACATTAAAGTAGCTTCATGGAATGTCTTATAAATTCTTTAAAGAAAAAAAAGCTTATTTCAATAGGAAGCAGAAAGATCTAAAAGGAGGCAAATTTGACCATTAGGTTATATGAAGAAATAAACTGCTGCTTTTTACAGCTATCACTATTAAACTATTTTGTTCTGAAGTGCCTGTAGAGGTTAGTGTACTTTCCTCATTCATTTTACTTCACTTTTCTATTTTATACTAAATTAGACATCTGATACCTTTCAGTCTGAGAAAATAGAATGAAGAACATATATAGTCGTGAACTACTTGCGGTTTTTGGCCTCTATAATTCTTCATTCTACATAGGAAAATGGAAGTACTTTTATGCTATGCCTTCTAAAAACAGGGATTGATTGGCTACTCCATAGATCTTCTGTTGTCTTTACTGTCTTTGCCACAGAGCAGATGGTATATACAATGCCATTAAGAAAGATTGAGGCAAACATCTTAATATTTATACTTCTGCTAGTTGCCAGCATTAGGGAAAAAAAAATGGCTGTAATGTCATCTGAAAAGTTTGGAACACCTGAGCTGATTTTCCATGTTGCTTAGTCATACGCTTATTATAATGTCATACACTTCTTTGGCAATTACTTATGCTGAAAAAAACCCTACCTCATGTAGTTGATTATTCCTTGTGGAGAAGCTCTTCTATACTTTCTGTGACTTGATGTGTTTTATTATAATGCTGTAAACTTTTGTACGGGTAGAATTTCCTTTGAAATTCTGTTACTTCATTTTGGGAATTTTCATATATGAAATTAAGGACGGACTAGAAATTATAGTTATCTTTATTAAGATTTAATTACTTTCTTATGATTTTCTGTTCCAACTCAGCGCACACAACACAATTTACTCAACCAGGATGGTCATACTTGCAAGTGGATGGACACTTAGAAGGAGGTGGAAGCTTTGTAGCTCTGACAGACGGCCTAGGAAACCTTACAATAATAATTGAAACTATGGTAATGTACATCAACAAAAGTAGAAAAAATAAAGGAAATATTTTGTTACAAAGTGCCTGCTTCAATTTATGCCATGTCTGTGAATATTTTCTTTAATGCTTCTGTAGCTTCATTACTGAGACCACCAGAAGTCCTTTTTTTTCTATCTAAACACTGTGTAATTGTTATATCACAAACTTATTTGACACGCTATGGGAGAAATTGAAACTGTTTTTTTAAAGCTGCGTTAAAAATATTATAGTTTGTGCAATAGCAATCGTCATTAAGATAGTGAAATAAATATTTACAAATTAATCCTGTGTTGCTTTTTATAATTTGTACAATGTTTTTCTTGAACACTGTCACCTGATAGATTCCAGTAATGTATGTTCTTTTGGTTCTTTCCTTTCTTCAGACACATAATCACTCTAAATGTATCAGACCTCCACTACCTCACTTCCGAGTTTCACCTCAGCGAGCAACTTTCTACCTCAGAGGGTCTTTTGTAAGTAGGCATTTGGTCACTTTTGTAATATGAATTGCACTGCATCTTGTGTGTACACACAAACTATGACAAAATACCAAGAAATTAGAATTGTTCACTTCCTGTGCTAGAAGTTATACGCCTGCTGAAGTTTTAAAGGTTCTTCTTTGCTTTTTACCATAAGACACAATGTCAAAACTGAATTTGTATTATTACTACCTCTCAATATATTTGTGTATATTGAAGAAAAAAATTGCTGGAACAGAGATACAATTTGGTTTGTTATTAGGATTTATTCCACACCTACATGCTCTGAAGTGCTGATATAGTTTGGCTGGCATGGTCATGATCTTTCTAGCTGTCCAGGGAAAGCAACTAGATAATGCAGCTGACTATGTGGCACAAGTTTTGTTGTTCTATCCCGTCAAAAGGTATTGTGAGAATCTCCATGTTTCGTATTAGAATCTTCTGTTCGTGTTAGCAGTATTACTGTGTTATTAGGATAATAGCTTACTGATATATGTAGATTGCTCTGAAAGTAATTTCTCCTATTTATTTCCATGGAAACCACAACACATAAAACAAAGAGCACAACAACAGAATGCAACTTAATAGAGCAAATTCTCAGCTTCAGAACACTATTTTTCAATGTAGTCATCACCATTAGCTATGCATTTTTACCAGCAGTGATCAATAGTTTTCATGCTGTGCTTGTAAAAATCTGCATGGCTTTCTGGGTGACTTGTCTTTCATGTTGCTGCTGTTGAAATGTACCATCCACCACCTCACTGTGCTCACATCAACTGTTTGGTGTACCCATAAACATTCAGCAAGCATCAGTGGGCCAACATAATATAGTAGGAAGCATTACTTTTGGATTGTTGTATAGTTATGAAAAATTAAGGTTTGTAATGGCTATCTGAGTTAATTGGTGGCTGCTGATGAGATCAGCAATTCTAAAATAACAGAAGTTAGACACTGATAGTTTTCAAAGACAAATTAAAATTGTTGTTGTGTTGGTTTCTTTTTTAATTTAATGTTGTGTTTCATTTTAGTATTTCCTGAAAACTCTTCAGGTGTGGCACTCTAGGCTTAGTTTTGAATCTGCAAACTCTAGTCTTTTTGAGCAACTTCATCCTGTAAAGGTAAGTTCATTGGTTTTTAATACTTTATTGTAACTACTTTGAATTGGTATTGCAAAAAAAAATTTTACTTCAATTTACAGTATAGAATTGCAAAGTAAGAAATAGAATCCCACATGTCGAAATAATCTAAAGTAACTTTTCAGAGAGAAGTTTATGGTCTTCAGTGTGAATTCATGAAGATAAGTGCTCATTAGGCTGGTAATACAAATTGTTTTGTAGGTCTAAAACATTGCAGCGTTTCACTAGGTATGTGCTTTGAGAGTAATGATTTAAGAGGTTCTAGTGTGATAATGAAGGACATCTGTGGATGTCCTTTTCTCAGTTTTTGGACCCACTTTACTACGTTTTCAACCTATACATTTGAATTACAATACTATGTCAGTATAGTATACCTCAGCATTGTTTGTGTGCCTAACTTATGCTCATCTGCTCAGTGTTAAAAGTAGTCAGGTTTAGCGATTTTGTTCCTGCTACAGAAGGATTTGCAGATGATATCTATAATATTTATATGGCCTGAAGGTGATAACCTTCCAACTTTCTGGCCTTTCTACCTGTATTCTTTGCCAAAACTTTGGGAAGTATGTGCTCACTTGATGCATTTAAAATAAATATTTTTGAGAAGAGAACCTTTGAGATCTTTTTTTTTTACTACCCTAAATACTAAGAATGTGAGAATACAGGATATTAATTACAAACTCGATTAAAGTGTACTTTCTCAGACTGATTTCTGTTAAAGCAGCCTTTCTCAAAAACAGAGCATTGTACATACTGTGACTTAAATCTTGCCTGCAAAGGAGTATTCTAGTACTCTCTGTAATTTCAGCTGTGTGTTTTTCCCCCATTCCTGGAACTGCTGCACTTCTATGCTTTAACTGTATACTTAAGGCTTGCTTTATTAGCTCTGTTTGACTAAAGTTTTACTAGCTGTATGCAAATTTACCTGAAAGTAATAAAGACTTGTGGATATTAAATGCTGAGTCATTTTTTTGTCTTAAATTGAACTTTAGAGGATATCCTTGAACTCAGAAGCTTGGATTTTTTTTATGTTGCAAGTTGATTTTTGCAACTTGGATTTTCTTTTAATTCCAGGTCTGGAGGGGAAGTTTTTCTTTAGACCTAGATGTAGATGAAGTCTATACTTTAACTACACTTAAGACAGGACGGAAGTGTAGCTGCCCAGAGCCTCCACCACCTCAACCCTTTCCTTCAAATTACAAAGATGACTTCAATATTCGTAAGTCAGAAATCTCTTATCAAAAGCTTAATTCTCATATAGTCTCATTGTAGAAAGGCCATAACAGTTTTGGTATTTGAGTCATCTGATGTAGAAGATATGAAATAATTTGAATGTCTTTCATTTTTTTCTCTGATAAGTTGTGTATGTACACCTCACTTCCAAGGAGAAGAATTTACTTCTAGCTCTTAACTAAGTGACTGCTACAGTTTTATAATTCTTGATGCGAAGTTCTATCTCAAATGTAGTGAACTACTTTTTTAAGGGAATGTAAAAAGAATTGAATGCCTCCCCTCTGGGGACAGGCTGAGAGAGTTGGGGCTCTTCACCTCGATGAGAGATTGCTCTGTGGAGACCTGATAGCAGCCTTTCAGTATTTAACATAGGTCTTTTACAAAGAAGGAGACAGACTCTCTATCATGATCTGTAGTGACAGGATTTGGGGAAATGGTTTCAAACTAAGAGAGGGAAGATTTAGACTGGATACAAGGAAACCTGGAGACCTTCAAAGTCAGGTTGGACCAGGCTCTGAGCAACCTGTTCTAGCTGTAAGTGTCCTTGTTTTTTTTACAGAGCAGCTTGACTAGATGACCTTTTTGAAAGGTCACTTTCAGCTCGAACTCCAACTCAAACAATTCCACAATTCCATTGAAAGGAAAAAAAGAAAGGAACTTTGTATATTTACGAAAATGGTCCTGCTTCCAACTTCTAAAACTTGATTTTGCACACTTTTTTTAGTATAAAAGACTGTATTTTGATCAGTAAGTCAAAAGTCTGGAGGATATCTTCAGAGGAAATCTCTGATATCAAGGTCCACAAAAGACAAATAATGTTTTGGTGCTGACATATTTTATTCTCTGAACAGGTAATCCACCTTTCAGTGAAGCTCCAAATTTTGCAGATCAGACGGGTGTATTTGAGTACTTCGTAAATGGCTCTGACCCAGGAGATCATGTTTTCACACTCCGACAGGTGGTGATTCAGCGACCCATTACTTGGGTTTCTGATGCAGACCAGACAATCAGCATTATAGGAAACTTTCAGTGGTATGTAAATACTACTTTTTGGTGACATCTGAGGAAATGGTGTCCTTAATAGTTTGAATTATGATTTGTTGGTCTCTTTCAAGCTATATTTCTCTTGCACTGAATGTTTTTACCTTCAAACAATCTGTAATCATGTAGAAATGATGATTAAAGGGACTTTAGCCCTGCATGGTGCTATTACCATCAGTATTAAAATGTCAGGTCAACAAGACCTTATTTAAACGAGTCTTGAAAACATCCAAAGATGAAGATTTCATTTCATCTCCTCATGTCTTGTCCTAGTGGTTCACTGCCTTGGGAAAAGATTTCTTAGACTCCTATGGGGCACATTTGTTCAAACTATTTTTGGGAATAATGATGTGAGATGTCTCACTAGGAAGACTAAGTTAAAATAGCACTAACAAAAAAGCAGGATCTGAATTTTGAAGTGTGCACAGATTTTTTTTTCACTGTTCAAAAGAGACAAAAAGTTGATTCAATTTAGTTTACTTGATTTTGAATTATGTTGCTTGATCATTACTAATTTGATATATCTCATGTTGTGATAGTTTGGCAGTTAATTCTGTTATATTTGTTGCAGACTGCCATCTTCTGAGCAGTTCCTGGAATTGTGCATATTTAATTTACCTACTGCTTAGAACAGTTGTATTTTTGGGTAGATGTAGCTAAGATTTACTAAAGTACACTTATCATTCATTCTAGGAGCTATAGTCGTGATTTTGAATTTTGAATGAAGCAGTATATCTTAGCATAATATTTAAATTTTTAAAAGTATTTGGATAAGAACCTGTTAAATAATTGGCTTAGTAACAGTAATTAATAAACTTAAGCATTAAGTTTGATTTATTATTTTTACAATTTGGAAGAGACTACCTTTAATTATTTCTAGAGAACATATCAAGTATTTTGTCTGTTTTTTCACTGTTATCAGATCAGCAATGCTTTTTTAGAACATGTATTATGCTGCTTATTTCTGGCCTTGACAAGTGATTGAATCATTTTGCTATGAAGCCTATAAGCACATCACTGTCTTGTAGCTGGAGGTTGTTTTTGAATTACCAGATGTGTACTTTTGCAGTCCTGTGTTAAGTAAAGCTTTGTGTTTTCCCCTATAACCAGCTTCCCCTCATTGAGCCAGTCATATCTCATGATCTGTGTAACAGATACAGAGTACACTTAAACTACTGCACTGAAATCTCTAGAAACTTTCTACTTCATTTCTGAATTAGTATCTTTTCAAAATAAAGCTTGTTTCTTGAATATTCAACTGATTATTCAAGCTTTATGCACCTCTAACTTTTATAAGGAAAGTTTTCAAGTTCAGACCCAGTTTGCCTGATCTTTTCCTGTGCACGTTTTCAACTACTAATGCACAATATAGAAATATTAAACTAAATTTGCTCTCAATTTCTGAGATGTTTTGATTTCAGTTATCAATAACAATTCTTTATGATTTAACTCAAGAGTTTAATTGGTTTTAGTTTGGATTTTAATTTTGTGGAAGTTTATGTAGCTACTCTTGAATTTTTTTGTGTTTTGCTCTTATGAACCTAGCTTCATGCTTCAAACCTGTCTGCGTGCTGTAATTATTGATATTTAACACACGTTGCTCCCAGTATCATTATAATAGTGTGAAAAATGTGGGAGTCTTGTGTTTAACACATGGGGAGATAAGATAGATCTTAAACGACTTCTCTAATGAATATGTATCCAATAAACTGATGCTTAAGCAGTAAGAAATAAGAAAAATCCCATTTAATTCTGATGTAAGAGATAGGGGAGAAGACTACCAAAAATACATATTATTAATGATTTATCTGTAAGCTGAGGTCACAGAGGACTTTTTCACACATTTCAGAACAAAAACAACAACCTATGTATAATTGGAAACTTCCTTTATGTATGACCTTTTGACTGTATCCATACTAACAACAGTTCATCACAAGTAGCTTAAGATAAGGAATGTAGGTACTTAATTTCTTGAGCAAGCATTAGTAGGGTTGGTTAATTTTTACTTGTGAGAGGCTTGTACTGCAGTCTGTGGAGTGGAGGGATATTGAATAAATTTTCTAAGTGCTATCAAATTGTTCTGGTATTTCTTTGCCTGATGGTAGCTTATTTTCCTTAACAGTTGTAATTAAATGTATAATGTGGTGCTTTACATTTGAGCTGAAGTATTACCTCAGGAAAAAGTCAAATAATTTCAGCCTGTTAAAACACACTGTTTCTCTTACAGGGTAAATCTGACAGTCACTTGTGACATCTACATAGAAAGACCACTTGATGGGGGTGTGTTCATTGCTGGAAGAGTAGACAACGGTGGGATATATGTTCGTCGTACCAAAGGAGTTTTTTTCTGGGTTTATGCAGATGGCACCTACAGAGTCACTAGTGACCTAGGTAAGAAGCCCTTTCTTAAACTGGATGCTGATAGATGGATGTATTTCATTGATAGCCTTGACAAAAATAATGAACATTCTGGTTTTGTTTCTCAGCTGCAATCGCTATGAACTTGACTCATTGTGCTGTAACAGTGGTTACATTTTGTATGTGGCTAGATTCATCTGAAGGTTACTGGCTGCTCCACTTCTCGTTCTCAGCCTTCTGGATATCTTTTCAAATATCTCCAGAACTAGAGTTGTAGGCGTTGGAAAGGACCTCAGGAGATCATCTAGTCCAACTTTCCTGCTAAGAGGTTCCCTAGAGCAGGTTGCACAGGAAAGTGTCTGGGAGGGTTTTGAATATCTTGAGAGGAGACTCTACAACTGCTCTGGGCAGCCTGTCCCAGTGCTCTGTAACCCTTGAAGTAAAGCTTTTCCTCATGTTTGTGTGAAACTTTTTACATTCTGGTTTGTGCCCATTTCTCCCTTGTTCTGTCCCTGGGCACCACCAAAATACAGCATGGTCCCAGCCTCTTTGTGCTCTCTTTAGATATATGTAAGTCTTGGTAAGATCCCCTTCTCCAAGCTAAGGAGTCCCTGGTCTCTCACCCTTTATTCCTAAGAGAGAAGTTCCAGGCCCCTAATGATCTTTGTAGCCCTTTTTCTACCTATAAAATCTGTTCTATGGTAGCAAATGTAAATTATTTTGCTTTTCATAAATATTTGGATATAGTGTTACAGGAAGGTTTAATTTGTTTTATTATAATAATCCTAAGTAGATGATCTGTCTTGGAATTCCATTACATACATTTGGCTTAGATAATGAGTCCTACTGTTTCCACAAAATATACATTTTTGTGTAGTTGCCTACTTGTGGTGCTAATATTCATGTGTGCTTGTGTGTAGAACACTTGATGGGCATGAAGAATTGTAGGTATGTTGTAATAAATCATCAACATTTAAAAGTCCTGTTCAAATATGTTTTTAATTGCTTCATAAGTTTGAATTAGACTTTTCAATAGTTTGACTCTAATGCAACTTATAGATCTACAATATACCTGATATGAATACAGCTCATAATGACTGATTTAACACTGCACTGGATCTTAAAAATAGCATCTTCTATTTGGTAGCTGTAGTTTCCCATTTCTACTTCTTCACTATGGGTAGGCAGAGTACCTGTAACTTGGGAATTCTATTACCTTCTCTTAACACACTGATTCCTAGGGAACCTCATGTTTAAATCCACAACAAGTTAAGTTTCAGCTGTGTGTAATAAATATATATATTTATTGTATGTACATACATACGCGTGGGTTTAGAATGAACTGCACTGTTTATTTCTTGAGACATGTCAGCATTGCCTAGTAGAGAATAACTTTTTTCCATGTTGAAATGAGGGGAATGTGATTAATGACCTCATTATTTCAGATGGGCATGCTTGTTAGGCCATAAGGTATTTTTTCCTCCATAGCTATTTTTCATCATCTTTATATTTTTCTAAAAAGGTGTCTGTATGTTAAATTACCTCACAGCTGAAACTGCCAACTGAATAATTGAAGATTCTTCTAGTGCTTAGTTGTTTGTTTTTTTTCCCCCAAATCTCTCTCCTGATTTTAGCTTAGCTTAAATTTTGACTAGAACTAAACAATGTAACATTGTGGCATCTCAAAAACCTCTGAATTTTAAAATTTTCTAATACATAAAAAAGATTAGTAGAATAAGTGGATCGCTAGCTGCTGTCACATTTAGTTAACCTGTACTCCCAATAGATGGAATCTCTAGAAGCACTGGATATTTCAGCAGAAAAAGGCTCCTGACAGAATAGTAGAATACCCCTCTGTAGTAAGATGGTGATCCTGAATATCTCTGAAAATGCATTGCTTTCCTTTTGCTAGCTTGATGTTTATTTGTCAGTCTAGGCAAAGTTAAATGACACTTTGCTAACCTTGAGCATGTTTTGCAGCTGGAGAAGAAATATTAATGAAAGGGCTTTCTGGTGTCCGACATAATGCTTGGCACACACTTACTCTCAACATCCAGGTAAGAGCATGGCCAAGAAGCTGGAAAATCTGCTATGAAAATTCCACTCCTAAATGGTTTAGACAAAAGCATGCTATTTTACTGTTTGCATGAGATGATCCTGCATAAAACATTGATACATATTTTAATTTAAGCAAAAAATAAAATAGCACATCATATTCTATTTCCTGTATTTTTGAAGAGATCTTGAGAAACTAGAGAGGGTATAGAAGATAAGTGGAAAAGAATGATTATGACCTGGTGTCCTGTTCTGAAGGTTCTGGTTAACTACTTGACTCAACTGTTTTATAAATCTGACTCCAATTATCTTTGCATGTTAAGGCCCTGTGTATGATGCCTCTTAAGGACTTGGAACTAGGGAACTTGAATGAACTACCATTTTTCTTTCCTGTGCAGAGAAAGCATGGGCATTGTGTTGATGTAAAAAAAAAAAAAAAAAAAAAAAAATGGCCCATTGTTGATTAGAAGCCTACTCAAAGTGAGGGATCTTCGTGTGGTGTTTCTGCATTTTTGATCATAGTGAGAAAAGTGATACCAAACTTTACTTTAAATATACCCGTGCAATTTATCTGGACATGACATTGTTGCAACTAAAAGGCTTTAAATTCCTCAGCTGGATGCCTAACCTCCTTGGCTAATACAACCTTTGCAACTGCAAGAGATCTAAAATAATTGGGAAGCTTAAATCCCCACTGAAGATATCTTGTACTGTAACAAACTCTGTAAAATTCTGTGCTAAGTCTCTAACAACTAAACTGTCTGTGAGCATTAGAAGCTTGTTGGTTTGGTGTTTGTTTTTTTGCTTTTTCTGCTTTTGTATTGATAGACAAAAGAATGCTTTTATCTGAGCCATTCACAAATGTTTGTACAGCCACATTTATGACAGTAATTGCTATCTATAAAATGAAGTCTGAGACTTGCTAACCTGAACAGAGTTAGCGAAAATGTACTAAAAATGAGTGTAAATTATCTAAAACAGAGAACAATGATGTTGGTCTTCAAATCATGACGCTCTAGAGTTGCATATACCAAAAATGCCTTTGATGTAATAAAAGAATTGTAGACAAGGCTTTTTGAAAAACAGTCTGTTTTTACCTGTATTTGTAATTTTTATAGATTCAGTACAGGTAAACTAGAATGTTCCCTCACCCCCCTTCAATTTAATACTGGCAAGATAAATTTTAACTAGTTCTGAAACTGTTCTCAACATTAATGGTAACATTCTACTTAAAAGTTCCTAAGTCCCCTTCTCTCCTTGGCTTGATGACTAAAACACATAAATCTTTTATTTTGACCTATGTCTAATTCTACAGAATTAATGCCAGGTGTGTCATATAAGAGAACTATTTGTAGTTCTAGGTAGTTCCAGTTTTGTTAAACCCCTCAAAACAGGTGAGCATTTGAAGGAACGTGATACAGATGCAAGAGGAAAAACAATTTACCTTTGAGATTCTGCACTGAGTTTGCAAGCTGAGAGTTTGGGGAAGATGAACCTTTTATATACACTCTGTAAAAGTGTTAGATCTGTTTCACAGAGCTGATAGGCACTGGATGATTCTGTGCAATATTTAGAAGTGCCTCTGCATGGAAAGCATGTGAAATGTAGTTGAAAATTCACTGGACATCTTCTTGACTTGCCTTGTCTGCCATACAGATAGTCTTGGTGTCAATACACTTGATCACTGGATTTCACAAAGCAAACTTTCTTTCCCTTTTTTCTGCCAGGGCACTTCTGCCTCAGGACTGCTAAATGGTTATCCACTCTGGGAGAACGTCACCATTTCTCAACCAAGTAATGGCTGGGCTGCTATTGGAACTCGCTCGTTTGAGTTTGCACAGTTTGACAACTTCCATGTTGAAGCTAGATGAGGTAGCTTTTGCATTTGAAGAATGTCGTCATACTTTGAAGAGCCAGCTCAAACTTTTGGGACAGCTGAACACTGACGTTGATCTGTTGGCAAAGAATCTGAATTCTCACCCTATTATTATTTTAAATGTTTACATTACTAGCTACCAATGTGAGTAATTTTCATCCCCTGGTTGCTATGGAATTTTTACTCTTAGAATTCTGGGGGTTAAATTTCAGTTCAAGGTAACGATGAAAACAAAATCATAGATCTGATTATTTTTGAATAAAAGGATCTTAACTTCCCATCTCATTTTCAAGCCGAATTTGAAAGTTAATGGAAGATAAAGGCCTCTCAAGCTGCATTTTTAACACTAACATGACTGTGTCCGTTCCTTTCACTATAAGAATTAAATACTAATAAGCCTAATGAATAGTGGCCCCATGCAGTTGTGCTATAATCACTTTCAGATTTCATTTGGATGAAGAACCTATTTTTTCCTGTATTAAGGAAAAGAAAAAATGTTTTGTCTATTTATGCTACAGTCTGAGGCTAAACATTACAGTGCTTAAGGTGTGTTTGATTACTACTTCCAACTTATCGCTAGCCTTAAAAATATTTCTTTTAAGCAGAAGGGAAATCTCTTACGGGTGATCAGGCAATGCAGGATGTGCCTTAAGTTTCAACTACCTCCTTTTTCTAAAGAAAGGGTTGAAATAGATTAAAAGATTAATAATCAGTTAATTATTTATAGCGTTTATGGAATGGTGTTATTTGTTTTTTGGTTTTTTGGGTTTTTTTTTTTTTTTTTTTTGCATTGTACAAGAATAAAAACTGAGTCCTGGGTCCTTAATTTATGCCAGGCTATGTGGGGAAAAAACTGGCTTTTTGTTCCTAGAAGTTTGAGCATCCATCTCTCATTTGTGATGGATCTAAAACTTTGAGCAGAAATTAAAGTATATCAAAATGTTACTCAGATGATTGTAGTACAGAGAAGGTATGGGTACTATCATGTCCTTGCATAAAAGGTAATGAAAAAATATATATCTTAATACCTACAGTCTAGTCATAAGGTGACAGCAGATGGATACAAATGGAATTGCTTAGTGTATCAGACTGCACTATTGTCCTGCAGTATGCCTACTCCTAGGCTGCATGGAGTAAAGTTCAGATTGAATTTTGGATCCTTCAGAAAGAAGGGATTCCCTTTTGTTGCTACTTCACTGTTTTTTGAAGTTACTGTGCTATCAAAAAAATACATATATATATCATCCAGACTATAGTGAGATAGCAAATGCTATCTTCATCAGTTGATTTCTGAATTTTTCTTTTGGTCATTTTGAATGAAAATGATGTCTGTTCCATAACAAAACATTTCCCATGTCTGCATCCTGTTTAACTAGCGATCAAGTAGTTCTGGAGGTGTGACGGGGCACGAATATTTGTATGAGGTTCTCTGTAGCATACAATATCTCATCTTTGAGAAACAGATTTGCAATATACTTCAACTTATACTAAATGTTATTCTGATCCATTTTATTTTGAAAGCTAATTTCAGTAAGCACTGACTTTGATCTTTGATGTTTTTCAGCTAAGGTAGAGTTAATGCAATACCAATTATTACTAGACATTTTTTAAGAAGGTTATCTTCCAAATCAGGTTTTGGAGAGATCTCAATTTCCTAAGTAGAGATGAGTGTTTTCTTTCTTTCAACAATTATACTGATACCACTATTAATTGGTTATGAATCATTCATAAGTGCAGATTTCACACAAGCAGTAACCTTGAAGAATGGTCTAAATGACTAAACTTTAAAACTCTGGAGGACTTTCTCTAGAGGACTTTCAAATATTAACAGTTTATTTAACTGGGTAAAAAATGAAAGCCAGTTTTCCACTTGAGTTTCATTTTGATAGTTAAAGTGTGGGTGCAAATCTTTTCATTATTTGCTTGATTTCTGAAGGGACATCACTGGGATCCAGATGTGAAGGAATTTAACTTAAGGTCCTTATATTCAAGTAATATGAATACAGAAGAATAAGTTCTCAGAATAAACTTGTTTCAGCTGTGATGGTTTTTCCTAGTAGCACGTTTCTTGAAGGGTTCATGTTAGCTTGTGTGGGCTGCAAGCAGTGTTGTATAAGAGAGATTAGCAAGGATGCAGTTTATCCAAAGGAGTTGTCCAGTTGGTTTTTTTTACTACCCTTTAATGCACTAGTCTAATAAACTACTGTCATATTGTGTACTAAGCACAATGTCACTGAAAATATTGATTTTTTTTCTAATCTTAACTTATTAATGTTAGAGGATTAAACTGTTTTATGAAGAGAATAAGCGATCTAATAGTGATATAATGTTGTTCATTCTTATGTGTGTAATTCTTCACCCTTCAGCAGGCTGTAATATCCTTGCCAGTAACAAACTGTCAGGTCTTTCACTGAGGGGTGGATTTATGTTGTTGATTATAAATACTAATCATTCCAAATGGACAAATAAAACATTTTAAACCCCTTTATTTGTGGAGAATGCTTTTGTTAATGGATCTTGATGTCCTCCAGCAAGAAAGCTGCCAGTTTTTATCATTGTGATTCCTAGTAAAGATGATTGCCTCTATGTTAACTGGATTGGAACAATTTTTCAAATGCCAAACAGTCCTCGTTAACAAATATCATAAAATCAGGACTTTCGTTGTTGATATGAACATTATTTATCGTGCTCAGTATACATTCTGCTTCTCTTTATTATGGTGGTTTTTTTGTGTGTTTTTTTCTTTGCATTTATTTAAAGGGATTAAATTATACTTAAGGGTCATTTGTACAAAACTGCTGAGTACTGAAGTCTTGTGAGCTTAAGGTGAAAGTCTGTTTACAGGTATGGAAGCAGGTAGTGCAATTCAGGTATATATTAAAGTTTACATGAGACTTTTTTTTTATACCTTGAGTAACCTTTTGGATCTAGCTTCAGGTTTTTTTATTATTTTTTACTCCCCACTCCAAGCCTCAAACTTCTGGGTTCAACTTTAAAAGGGGAGGAGAAATTCCATGATGCTAGACACATTTTCCTGGCTATCATGCCAATGGACGTGAATTGCCCTGAAAATGCTGTTTTCTGCTTTTGTTGGTAAAAGGTGTCTCTCTCCAGTAAGAAAGCATTACTAGAGTTACCACTTTGGTTACATAGCACTGCATTAAAATTGATTCTGTTCCTTATTCTCTGCCATGTGACTTTTAGGTTAGTTGCCACAAACATCATTCTTGGGGTTTTTAAATTTCTGCAAAACAGCACTTCTTTTCTTTAGGCTACTCATGAGCACTCATTCTGTGGCCTTGTCTTGTTCTCACTGTATCAAAAGTAAATTTCTAGTTCCAAATTTGGAATGGTGAGTTGAAAACAACCAAACTTATTACGCAAGTCTTATCTGATATTTAATTTAAGTGCCTTGGGCTTCTTTTCTGTGCCCTTTAGGTTCCTTCTTACCATTCAACATCACTATTTGGTAATCGCAAACCACAGTGATCACAGTCCTTCAGAATCTCATTTCCTGGAGAACCAAAGTAACTTTGTAATTATTGCATTAAACCTCTCCTTTACTTCTTTTGTAGTTAAACCGAGGCATATCTCTGGAAACAGGAGGTAAAATTAGTCTAGAAGTGTTAGAGTGGTAATTTTATTTATTTTTAAAATGTCTTTTCTGTTCGTGTTCAATGTATCTGAGCGTAAGCACTTAAATCAGGAAAACAGTCATTTTGATTTTACCGTGTTCATGAATACATCTCAAAATGCTCAACTGTAAGAGAGGATGGCTCAGTGCAATACAGTCTTCAAGAGAAAATAGAACCTAGTACACCTGGTTAGTGTGGTGCAGCCCAGGTTTGGGAACCTTTGGTCTAAGATGAAGAAGTTACCACCAAAAGGATTATCTAAAAAACCACAACTCTTCGCATGTTTCCAAATAATTGAAGGAAATGTCCTTATTTAGCTTGCATTTCTTTGTTCATTTTTTTGGTGAGAAGTACAGGTAGCTTCTTTACTGTTTCTCATTTAAAAAAAAAAAAAAAGCGCCTATGGAAAATCAAATGCTTTGTTTCTAGAAAAGCAAATCTATTTAATTACACACACTGATACAATTTTCAAGAAACACGGGGATCTTGCAATTTAAATCCTCATACTTGCTTTGCATTAAGAGCAAGAAGGTAAATTGTAGAATCAGAATTGTTTAAGTTGGAAGGGACAACTAGTTAAAACTCATCTAGTCCAACTCCTCTGCAACAACCAGGGACATCTACAGCTCAGGGTTCTCAGAGCCCTATCCAGTCTGACTTCGAATGTCTCCAGGAATGAAGCATTCAAGTCCATGTCTTTCCATGTACTCCACGTCTGGATGTGGTACTCCAGGTGATGTCTCACCAGCACAGAGCAGAGGGGCATGTTCTTGTCCTTTGCTCTGTTGGCCATATTTCCTTTGAAGCCTAGGGTATGGTGGGATTCCTGGGCTGCAAAGGCATGTTGCTGTCTCGTGTCCAGTTTGCCCCTAAGGGTACTCTCCTGATGCCATGTACCATCACTAATACATCGGTGTCGAGCACTTCCTCTGTCCAACAGTCTCATAGTAGAGAAAAACAGAAGTGATGGAGTAAGGGATCTGAAACGTGGGCACAGCACCAACAACTGCCTCTGCTTACAGGAAAATCTTTTGGAGAAAATAAGACCAGTAGAATGGAGATGAATAGGATAGGTTGGAAAAAGCTGTGTTAACACAGAGACACAATGGGAGTGATGTAAAGCTTCCACAGTTTCTGTATATATCATGACATGAGATAAGAGTTGTGTTAATGCATCTAGAAAATGCTGGAGTACCTAATGTGCCCTTGGAAATGCAAGTCTCTAGGCTCTCTCCTCTCTTTTCATGGAGGAAACTGATGTAATTCTTACTTTAAAAAAGAGTAAAATGGCATGAAAGGAAAACTAAAGGCCTAGTCTACTTGCTGAATCTGTGGTCATCATTTTTAACACTGCATTTTGAAGCTAATGAACACTGTTCACGTTGCTGCTTAACTGTAGCTGCTCCTGTTCCTCCTGAGACCTAATTCCCTGTGAAAAGTCTCTTAATCCTAACCCAAACCAGATAAACGGCAATGCTATTTCAGTTCATTGAGTGTGACTGACGTGGGATTTGAAAGCATCATGCGGCCAAGGCAGTCAGGACGGTGAGCTCATACTTCAGGCTACAAAAAAACCTCATTACAGCAAGTCTGATCTATACTGAGAAAAATCTATAGCCGTATCACAAAGATAGATTTCCAAATGAAAAATTGATATTTGACATGAGCCTTAGAACTTTTTATCTTTTGTGACAAGTTTGTGGAGAGGACTTTGCATTTTGTGCCAGAAGCACTAGATGGCAGTGTAATTACAAGGAAAAAAAAATAGCTAGCTGGATGGGTTCAAGGCAGCTACATTAAGCTGTGAGAACAAGGATGGAGGTGGCTTTGTTTGAAAAGAAAAATAACGTTCAGACTACGGACAGCCTCCTGTGCACAAAACTCTACAGCATTCCTTACAAGGAATAGTAATTTGTCTTTTAATATAATTTTGCATCTGCTCTAAGCATATTAACCTATATAAAACAAATGCTTTCTAAAGCATCTATCACCTGCAGTAGTTTTTTTGGATCAAAGTCGTCATAAAGAGTCAAAAAAGTCCCATTGCTGCCAGAAGCACAACTTTAGCTATTGTGTGAGTCTCGGTAATCTTTGAGTTGTGTGTTCAGGTTGTGAAAGGATCTGCAATGACTTTTCTCAGTGTACAATGAATTTGCGGTTTTCTTGTGTTTGAGCTGTGACAGCCAGTATTCTAAAAGCCTTTTAAATGCCAAGCTCTGATTTCAGAAGATATCCTTAAGAACCTGCACCCCTGGGCTGCTTCATGCAGCCTTGTGTACCTAGCTGAGACTGTACAGGAGAACGTGTGTGTGGATGGGATCTGGCACTAAACCCCAGATCAGATGCGACGATGGATGGGAACGGTATATAACATCTTTCCACAGCACACAGCTGTAAGACTATTTCAATTCAAGGTTTTCTCAGAAGTGGATCTCAAATTTTCTGCTTTAATTATAAAATAATGAGCTGCAAGTGATAGAAGCACTTTGAGAGAAACGAATAAGCATGTTTGCACAAGCTGAGAAATTGTCATCCAGTTTGTCCTTGAAGAAGGTGATTCTTTGTTCAAAGAGATTTGAAGACAAGGAGAGATGGAAGCTCTGTAAGGCTTGTGAATGTGTGAAGGAAAGATACAAGGAACACAATGGGAACTGGAAATGAATGACTTTGGGGTGACTGATCAACTTATTAGATCAAGGGTTCAGAAGTGTGAAAGCAGAAAGTGTTTGGCTATTACCGAGTGTCTCAGAACAGCATAATCAGAAATTTGGGAGTAAATGAGCAGTGATTACCTGGACAGAAATTTACTCCCTCTTGCCAGGTTTTCTAAAGCTTTATGTACCTAGGTTAATAAGTCAGAAATTTGCTTTCACCCCAGGCTTCCTGAGGTGATGTCCTTCTCAGACAATGATTGTGGCCAGTCAACACTGGATGTAAGCAAGGGCCGTGTCAGTCCTGCTTGGCTGATAACATCTTGCTGCCTCAGAGAAATCTGTGGTCATGGGCTTACATGGTCTCTCTGTAGTCACAGGAGGGACCAACACAGGCAGAAGAAGGCACATAGGCCTGGGTGGCAGAGGCACTTTGTTTAACTTAAAACTGAGGTGCAAGATTCTGATACAGAAAAGTATTACTTTGCCTTAGTCCCTAGAAGGCAAAATGAGAAATGTTTTTCATTTTGGAGGACGTTATAGTGTGAAACTGAAATGGGGGTTGCTCTTCTTCCATCCTGCTTTTATGTGGGGTGTCAGTGAGGTTTGCTTTTCAAAAGGACCAATGCATCATTTGTGTGATGGACAAGAGGCTGGGAACTGGATGCTTATTTATCTTAAGTTCTTATGAACAGTATTTAATATGATATTCTGTGGAGGTGGAAAATTGTTTTCTGTGGGAGTATTGTGCCCCTCTGTCTAATGAAAGGGAAAGTTGTCTTTGAGGAACTACAAAAATTTCACTTAGTTTTATAATCTTAATATTGTCTGTGTATTTGTTGTCTATTTTTCTTGATGAAATTCCTCTGAGTGTTGTTAGTTTTATAGCCCCTTAGGTGCTCTGTCTTGTCTGGATCATGGCTCTTTGTTGTTTGTTCTGACAAAATGTGATCTTCAGAAACACTTCAGGTTCTCATTTTGCCTTTCCTAGGTATACTTTTAGCTTCATCTGCAAAAGTGAGAAAGAAACCACTCTGTGAATTGTTAAGGGACTGAAATATGATCATTAAAACTTGATAGATTTTCTTTTTGACTCACAGTACTTTGCAGACAAACTGCTTACCAGAAACTATGCTAGAATAAATGGAGAATATATGGGAAAGTGGAAGAAATATCCCAAAGTTTTTGGTTATTTACA